AAAGATAAACTGAATTGACTGTTTCCAAATGAACAAGAATAACCTGATTTGTCCAATACAGAAACAGAAACCAAATTCCGTCTAAAAGACGGTACTACAAAAGTATCTTTTAAATCCAAATAATAACCAGTTCCTAACAACAACCTAAAGTGCCCAATTGCTTCCACATCTACCGATTGTCCGTCGCCCACAAAGATGTGTCTTTCAACATCACTTGGCTTTCGGTAGCTCAGGCAACCCTGCATAGAAACACTTATGTGAGTAGTAGCACCAGAGTCTAACCACCAAGTGTTTCTAGGTACTGAAGCTAAATTAACCTCAGAACAGACCAAAGCAAGGAACGTACCCTTATTATCACGCCAGGCGTGATATTTTGTACAGTCCTTCTTTACATGTCCAGGCTTCTTACAGAAGAAACAACCCTGATTATCCTTATGTTGTTTCTTCTCAACTGGACCCTTAGCAGCTTCCTTATCATTCTTCCTTTTCTTGCCCTTATCCTTAGAGGCATAGGCCAAATGAGCACTTTCTGTCTTATCTTGCTTCAACCTGTCTTCTTCTTGCACACAGTATGAAATGAGCTCATTTAGAGTCCATTTCTCCTTTTGACAGTTATAACTGACCTTAAATTGGTTAAACTGTGCAGGAAGAGACAACAAAACCAGATGCACTAATAACTCGTCACAAAGATCGAGTTTAAGTGCCTTAAGCTTTGAAGCAATATGAGACATTTCCATAATGTACTCCCTGATATTTCCTTTGCCCTTATACTTCATTGAAATCAAGCGAGCTAAAAGCGTGCTTGTTTCTACCTTATCGTTTTTCGCAAAACGCTTCTCAATTTCGGCAAGGAAATCTTTAGCCTTAGTAATCCCTTCGGATTCTATGCCCCTGAAGGCTTCCGGAACGCCGCGCTTAATGATCATAAGACTCATGCGATTTGAACGCTCCCACTTCTCATGCTCCTTCTTTGCATCAGGAGTGCTATCCGCATTGAGAGGTTGGGGTTGTTCAGTTCTTAATGCATAGTCAAGATCCATGCAGCCAAGAACAATTAATATGTTCTCTTTCCAAACCTTGAAGTTTGTCCCATTTAGCATGGGAATTGAGTTGATGTTAGCAGAAATTGTTGCAGCAGATGCATTAGCTGAAATAAAACAAAAATGCTCACATCAATAACCATAATCAATAAAATTCAAATAATGACAATCCCCATCCAAGATACCGGCACAACATTAATATCAAGTCTTTGGACAGTAATATTAACTTGTAAGTGATACCTTGTTGCAATGATCAAACATTGACAATAACTCATGTCAAATAATGAAACTATCTTTGGATCGATTCATTAGTGCTGTTTCCACTTTATCGTTTTTCGCAAAACGCTTCTCATTTCGGCAAGGAAATCTTTTAGGCCTTCAGTAATCTCTTCGGATTCTGATCCGCTGAAGGCTTCCGGAACGACGCTTCCATTGATTCATAAGACTCATGCGATACTTGAACGCTCCAACTTCTTCATGCCTCCTTCTTTGGGCATCAGGAGGCTATCCGCATTGAGGGTTGGGTTGTTACAGTTACTTAATGCATAGGTCAAGATCCATGCAGCCAAGCAACAATTAATATGTTCTCTTTCCAAACCTTGAAGTTTTCCATTTTAGCATGGGAAATTAGTGTTGATGTAGGCAGAAATTGTCTGGCAGGCAGATGCATGTAGCTGAAATAAAAACAAAAAAGTCACAGTCAATAACCATAACAATATTCATTCAAATAAATGACAGTCCCATCCAAGATATCGGTCACACATTAATATCAGTCTAGTTGGCAGTAAATATGTAACTTGTAAGTGATACACTTGTTGCAATATGATTTGAACGTTGACAATAACTCATGTAAAATAATGTAGAACTATCTTTGGATCGATTCATTATCACGATGAAACCCTTAATACATTGTCACAGCGCTTATATAATCGTAGATGTGTATACAGTCTAATAAATATTAACCTCCTTTGGGCATTAAATATTTATCACGAAGCATACACACAACATCTCACAATCTCGCTTATGAACAACTACACCCAAGAGAAGAGTTACTTTGGCAACTTCTTGTTTCAATTAATCAATTGGATGTGGAGACAACCTTAAATACCTTAGTTAATTTTCAGATATTTAATAACATAATAATTGAATCTAAAAACCAGAAATAGATTATAATATAAAAAATTAATTAAATCAATGAATTTCAAAAACTTACAATTTGGGGTCATCACAGCTTAATTTAGGGCCCATAACCTTAATTATAAATTAAGTAACAAAATGGACCCATGGAAAAGCCGAGGCATATAAGCCTATAATGACCGAAGTTCCGCTTAACTTCGAACGCCAAGCGATTCGACTGTATTGAGTAACTGAGACCAGCTTAAGTACGACGAACGTAAGGTTCTGATTTGAAAAATGACGCCTATAGTCAACGCTGAGCACGAACGCAATGTTCGACCTGAGAGACCGAACGCAAAGTTCGTTAAAATCATGAACGCAGAAGTTTCAACCTGAGACAGCGAAAGCATGAAGTTCGTTAGAAAATCGAACGCAGATTCAAACGCTGAGTAACGAACGCAGGATGTTCGACTCTGAGAACCGAACGCAAGTTCGTTAAAAAATGGAACGCAAGTTTCAACGAGCAGAACGAACGCAAATGTTCGTTAAAAGATGAACGCAGAGTTCAAACTGAGTCGAACGCATCGATGTTTTGACGCTGAGAACAGAACGCCAAGTTCGTTTAAAAACATGAACGCAGAGTCACCTGAGTAACGTAACGCAATGTTCGTCGCCTGGTAACGAACGCAGATTGTTCGACCTGTGAACGAACGAAAGTTCGTTTAAAAATGAACGCAGAGTTAACCCTGAGGACCGGAAGCGCAAAGTTCGTAAAAATGAACGCAAAGTGTCAACCTGAGTACGAACGCAATGTTCGACCTGGAGAACGAACGCAAAGTTCGTTAAAAAATGAACGAGGTTCAACCTTGAGACACGAAGCCGAAAGTTCTGTGTAAAAATATGAAGCGCAGAGTTCAACCTGAGTAGAAGCAATGTTCGACCTGAGAACGAAGCAAGGTTCGTTTAAAAACATGAACGCAGAGTCAACCTGATACGAACCGATGTTCGACCTGAGTACGAAGCAATGCTTGACTGGTGAACGAACGCAAAGGTTTTAAAAAAATGAACGCATTGGAGTTAACCTGAGAAACGAACGCAAAGTTCTTAAACATGAACTGCAGAGTTAACCCCTGAGTAGCGAACGCAATGTTCGACCTGGAACAGAACGCAAAGTTGCGCTTAATAAATGAACGGAGAAGTTCACTTAGAAACGAGACGAGTTCTGTTTGAGGTAACACTACTCAATTTCCGGGCCATGAACCCCTTAGGGTTTCAAACTTGAAACCGCGCGTAAAACCAAAAAGTCTTTGATTTTTTTTTTCAAAACAGATCCAGAATTGGAAAAAATTGAAGAAAAAATCAAAGAAAAATCCAAAAAATTCTAAAAAGTTACTGTTCACCGGCGCTTTTTTCAGTTACTGTTCATCCGGAAAAACTTTGCTTTCCACCCGGGAAAAAAAATTTCGTTACTGTTCACCGACCATTACTGTTCATCCGAACCCAAAAAATTGAATCTTTAACCAGAGATTTAAGATCAAAAACCTAATAAAACTTAAATCCCTAAGAATTAATCAAGGTGGCTCTGATACCACTTGTTAGATCTACATCATAAACTTGAGATCTAAAACATATAGCCATGATTAATTCAAAGAGATTAACAAGGATCTAAAAAGAGCGGAAGCTTATACCTGAATCCATTACTTGATCTTGATTTTGGATTTTGGATCTTCTAACCTTAGGGTTTTCTCTTTAGCCGAATTTCTCTCTTAGATGGGGGTGAAGAGAATTAGAGAATGTAGTAACCCTAGATTAGGGACCATAACCCCTTATTTATAGATGTTGTACTTTTGTAATTTAGCCCCTCAATAAATCACAATTACAACCTGGTATCTGCACATATAACCCCATGATTATATTTAAATACCCATTAACCCAACTTAATTGATCACTTTAGTGGGTTATTCTGAAAGATAGCAATACACATTGATTAATCATATGTGCCCACAAATAGATTTATTAGATTAAATCCAACAAATACAATTAGAAGGTTCTATCACATGCCATGCGCATGGGAGCAATCATAACTAACCTATGACTTTGCTTTAGTTGTGAAATAGGTTGATTGATTGGTTGCAAGAGGAATGATTGACTTAGAACTTAGTTATTGACGAAAGGGAGCCTCCTTTTTCTTTTTCTTTTTTCTAATTTCAAGATTCTTATACTATAATTATGACTTATGAGCAATTCCTAGCTAGTGAGAATTGAACAATATCATTTTATATTTTTAGTACTTTCTCATAGTTGGTGAATACCCTTCTACGGCTCTTTATATATATGTTCTTATAAATACATTTGAAAGAATGTCTAGCTGGATATCAATTTAGATATCCAGAATAACGTAATAACGTCCTTGTCATCACAATGGAACTCTAGAAGTCATGTTCATGAGACTCAAAGCATGTGGCGTGCTATATTGCAATGTAACAATGTTCAGCAATGATTTTTTTTTTTAAAGAATTATGTGTAATATTTTTATTTACAAGATAAACTGTGCCAGTTCCCAATGCACCATGTTTTTATTAGGAAATCGCTTATACGGTTGTAGGAAATCACTCTTTAATCAAAATAAGCTAAAGCCAACCTCGTAGTGCTAATGATGTAAAGAAAAACAGGATATATTAGAAATAAAGACTGAAAATGATGACGATTAAAGGGTTTTTTTGTGTGTGATGGCAAATATGTTTCTTTCTCATTATGTTGCTGTTCCTCTTTGTTTTCCTTTTCTTTTTCTCTCTGCCTATGAACGATTTTTTTAAGGAACATGAAAAGAGTATCGAGCGGTGATACCGCAGAAAAACTGTGAAGAACATTTCATCAGCATCTGCATAAATATGTCAGTGGACCTTTTTTGCAGAGATTTCAGCGGCCTTCATACCTAACAAGATGGAAACTCATCACAAAACCTACGCTAGCTCCTTCCGCAAAAATTCTGCAACAAACAACCTGAAACAACAGCCCCGAGGTGACTATTCTTGTTTCTCTCAAAATAAATTGAGAAGAATATAACAGTTTATTAGAAGGTTGAAAGCTCAGCTCATTCATTCTGGACATATTTCCTCGAGCAACTTCTCCGTGATCTCGCCAACAGCAACATTCTCCATCTTCAACCGCTTTCTCATCCCAGGGCTCTTCTTCTCAGCAGCAGCGTAAGTCCTAATTAGAGATTCAAACACCTCTGCCCGTAAATCAGGCTTAACCAATTTCAGAAGCTCGATAAATCCTTCAGCACCTCGAACATCTCTATTCTCTTCAAAGTACGACATCAAAGCAAAAATCACTTCATTGGGTGGAACCCAAATTCTACCATGGGTTCTACCCTTCTTGATTCCACGATCAACGGACCTGAGCACAGACTTCATATCCCCGTTCTTTAGATAGTACTCCATAAAGATCTCCCAAGATTTGGCGTTAAGCCTTGCCCCTTTCTTTTTTGCTCGCTTCTTAAAGGTTTCAGCTTTTTCCAACATTCCTTCTTTAAGATAAGCACCCAGCAGAGCATTGACAATCCGAATGTCATATGTTGAGCACTTTGACTCCCATTCCTTGAAGCATGTCTCCGCGCCTGATAAATCATTAAGCTTCACTAACACCTGGATCATGTTTAAGTAGCTTATGTTTGCCATTTTTGGAAATGCTAGCTTCAGCGATCGCCATATCCTATAAACTTCAACTAGGTTTCCAGCTCGTCCGTACAATGTTATGAGGAACTGATAGGCTTCAAGGCTCTCAGTATTGTTCCTCTTTTCAAGCTCTTTTAGAGCGCCTTCAGCCTTCCGAATCATTCCTGCATCTATATATATGGAAGCTAAATTGCTATATGTTGTCCAATCAGCAGCAACTCGTCCATCTCTCTTCATCTCATCCACAACCCTCTCGACACCAGAGACATCTTTCACGGCAGCAAGGCTCCTCATCCAAATGTTGTAGGTGTAACAATCTGGCATTATATCATTAGCCTTCATTTCTTGTATGATTCCAGGAATTTTGTCTGGTTGGTCGGCTTTAGAGTAGAGAGTCATCAAGCTGTTATATGCCATGGGGCTTGAAGCAAATCTCAGTTCCTTCATCTTTTCCATAAGGGCCTCGGCTTTTTCAGTCATTGACTCTTTGCAATAACAGTTGAGTAGAGCTCCGTAAGCTAGGTGAGTTTTAGCAGAGTCAGGTAAATTGATGAAGTACTCTTCAGCGGAGGCAATGCCTCTTGCTTTGCCTACAAGATCGAGGCGAATTGCATGATCGCTATTTGTCAAGTTCATACCCCTCCTAGACATTGTTTCCGAAAGCTGCAGAAAATAAGAATAGCACATCAATGTTTGTATGGAAAGGGAAAACCGGGAAAGTAGATAGCCAACAACTAAAGACTCTTGCAAATACGTCCAGAGCTTAAATATCTAGATACATACCATGTAACGTGGAACATGTAGAGTAATTGCTGAAGTAAATAATAGTCCAGTTGCCCATAAAATATTATAACAGAAAGCCCAATTCAAGCAGATATGCCTTATGGTTCTTAGTATACAATCGGAAAACAAAACATTAATACCATAAAACTGGAAATTAGAAACCTAGAAAGATTCAAACCGATTGTACTCATCCTTCCATGACCACTGTGTTTCAGTAACAAAAGAGCAAAAGACTTGCCTAAACTAAACTGGCACAGAGGTCATATCTTATAAGAAAATTCTGAACTATCTTACCTCGAGGTTTTAGAGTTGAAAAAAACACAAAGAGAAATTAAGTTATATATATGATCATGCTATATCTGAAAATTCGAGAGGCAGTTTGTATGTAGATAGAAGAAAAGCAGCAAAACCTTTCTCTCTGAAATAATAAAAGGCAATTTGCATGTTCGTAGAAGAAAAGCAACAAACCCTTTCTCCCAAATTTGGGGTTGGATATGCTAGAACATAGAAATTTTGGCGCAATCTACATATGAGCAGAATATATAACTCTCAAGGAGGTTAAGAAAAGGAAAGATAGGGCAGGACTTGAACTGAGTAACATTTCCCTGAATGCACCATATTTGCAATGCCTTTAAGGACATAATGGCTTTAACCGCGCAACAGAAGGTAAATGAAATACTAAATGTAAACCAACTGTTTAGGATGAAAATCTCCAACAGAAATCACAACTATAACCATGAGTTCAAACCCTCAATTGCCAACACATTGTTATGCATCTCCGTTGGCCCTCGAGTGAACAAGCGATAGTAGGGGACAAGAAACAAAAAAAGCATAAGGATTGAAAATTATCCTAAAAAGTTGCAAAATGAAAATTTTCAGGTTATAGAAAGTTTCTGATTAATGCAAAAGGCCATATAGACAGATGATCTGGTGTTAACCCCAACAGCATGAAATATACAAAAAATGAAGAAGGAAAATAGAAACTTCTACCCATGAAATGATCAAATCAGAGATAGGCCTAATGAAATCGTATTTGGATATTAATCCTTCAAAAATTCAAAATCAGATTATAGTCCTTCACAAAGTAAAATCTACTTCTTACAAATCCTCTAGTTAATGGTCATCTCCAAAATCAGAAATATTATGTTATTCCTCCAATGATGCTAGGTTTTCAAGTTAATATCCTCTCCTTCAGCCTCCTTTCCTCACATGTTGGAGCCCATTCACTCCGAATTGCAGTGTCTTACTTTAAAGACAGATAGAAAAAAAAAAAGGAACATAACACGATGCATTAATCATCCCTATTCTCCTTGTTTCAAATCAATCCCAGCCTTTCCTCTCCCTTTCTTCTCTCTGTCACCCATCTATCATTTTCTTTTGCTGTCTTCATCAGTTAATGGCCATTCCTTCACTTCTTTTCATATCAAAATAGACAAAGCTTGCATATAATAAGAAACATTATCAACCACAACAAGAAAAAAAATATATACATCTAATCAATGTTTTACATTTAACTTTAGAGAGAGTACATTGCTTCTTTGTGCAAAGATAGAGGCAAAGAAGATGCCTATGATACCCATTTATCTTCATGCTTATGCTCTGGAATCTGATACCTATGACCATTATTTGGTGGGTAAGTGTAAACACACATATAGCTATTTCCGTGTAGCCTTTTGATGGTCACTTGCATTGTTCCAATCAAGAGATTGCAGGACAATTGATCATCCATATGAAATGAATTATAACAACAAGAAAGACTTTATCGACCCATATAAGAAAAAGAGTTCGGTTTAGTGATCAAAGAAATAGATGGATGTGACAGTTAAGAAGAAGAGTACAAAGGTCATTTTACAGCCATAACATGCTTAAGCAAGACTTTTGAATGCAAAAATGTTAACCAAGGGACATAACGTGCAGCTTCTATAACCAAAGGAACTGATTTCCAAATATAAATTTATATGGGGTACTAAAATCCAAATATTATTATTTTTTCCTTAGGCAATTATATCCTAAAACCCTTATAAAGAGAATAGACTGTTCATGGTCATCTTGATGATTTCAACATCTCTTCATATCATTACAAATACGTGTTATCATTAAGTACAAATGTGTGTACAAGTCAGATGAAGGACAAGATTACATTTGAATGAAGGAATAAAGAGGTAGAAATGGCACGCATAGAAGCAATCAAAGAGATATAAGAGCCATTAATCTAAGAAAATAATTGGCCCTTAAAGAAGCTCAATCGAAGAAGATTGGGTCAACGGTGTCTGATGCATGTCTATGTCAGACATGGGACCTGGTTGTAGGTGTTCTTGTCTTTTTTTAGGTAAGGCATCAAAATCATTTGTGCAATCATCAATAAATGACAAATCATTTGAACCCCAGCAATCATTATAATTTATAACAGGAACTTATACATCAGACAAAACCAAATCGAAAAGTAATGAGTTTTTTGACTGCTCTAAGAAAATATATGACATGTGCTTCACACTCGGGTGGAGATCCTCTACATCCTTAGTTGTAGAGAAAATCACCAATCACATCTCCTCACTCAGTGGACCCCATAAATTATATTAATTATTAAAATTATATAAAAACATTTAACGGGATCCATTGAGATAAACAAATAGGAGTAGTCCACAAAGCTAATGGCAGGCTTTAATGATAGAACTAAAACTCTTAACTTCAATAATTGTGGATGACCAATCAATGTAGAAGAGGTTGAGACCTAAATCGTGATCCCAGTAGAATCACCAGTCTTATCATTAAAATATTCCATTCCGCCTACTACAAATGTTCTACGCTAATTACCATTTTCATATTTAGATTGAAATATCCCAGAAGTGGGATACAAAACTGAACATCTGTGTAACAGAGAATTCGCTACATCACAAGGTCAAAAAGGAAACTTCTGAGTTGAACCACTAAGGTTCAATAATATCTAGCGCAACAAGTACCAATACCAAAAAATTTTACCATTAGAAAGTGCAACTTCCAAGGGAAGTGTGACGGATGAACATCATATAGAGGATGCTATCATGGGATCACAATATAAGAGAGAAAGAGTATACTACTAAAAACAAATTAATTGATGTAATAAATATGAAATAAGTTTTTAAAAATAAAAAGAGCATACAATGAAAGCTTTCTGACTGCATGAAGAAAGTGTTAACAAAAAGCAACTCAAGAACAGGCAAAATAAAAGTATTCCCTCAATAACCAAGTTCAAACTCACACCTGTTAGCACCTATGCCACCAACCTACACATTTAGTATTTTTAACCTTTTTTGATCTTCACTGATCAACAAACCAATAATGTCACGCTCCGAGCCCGCAAGCCCATTGGTGTAATGTAAGTCGTGGGCCTCATTGAGAGCAACTCATAGTTTGGCTCAATCCACCGCCAAAGGGTGCTAACACTAGTTGCTCTTGAACCCTTTGACTTCACTATTTAAACCATTTAAAGTCTTTTAGTTTTCCCGGGGTGGGACTACCTGGGATATCACAATCACCCCACCTTTAATATACGACATCCTCCTTGCGGCATCACAATATACGACATCCTCGTTACGGCATCACAATTAGCACATCTCAGTGTCACCGTCAAGCGATTTGGACTCTAGAGGTAGCTCCTACGGGCTTCAGAGATGGCTTCAACCACTCTCACGTGTAGCACTTAGTCACACATAACACTTAGTTGCATACTTCTGGCTGGCTAACTACTTTGATACAATTTGTCACGCCCTAAGCCCCCAAGCACGTTGTGCAATGTAATTCGCGAGACTCTAAGACAACTCATTGTTTGGCTCAATTAACTGCCAAAATGTGCTAGCACTAGTTGTTCTTGAACTCTTTGACTTCCCTATTTAAACTTGCAAAGTCTTTTAGCTTTCCGGATGTGGGACTATTTGGGGTATCACAAATAAATTAGTTAAAATCAGCATTTTCCACCAAAAACCTAACTGAAATTCTAGGTCCACGAACGCCACGATAAGCATTTCCTAAAAGACCCCTTTGCAAATTTTTAACTTTCTTCAAAGTTAGCTACTGCTTGAAATATTTTAAAACCTTCACAGGGCCCACATCTTATCCTCCATTAAATCATATTTCCTTACTTTATTAATGTCTCATGCACCAAAATTTCTTCAAAGAGATCATGGCCATCACATACGGCCATGCATAAATATATTCTTCTAAAACATTGATGCACTACTGGGCAAACCGGTCAACCAGAGCCTAGAAGGTAACCTGGGTATATCCCTTTAGAAATTGGCCAAATTGTTCTTTTATAAACATTGTGAAGTTGTTAAAATGTTTAAGAGTATCAAACTTGGAAGTTATTAGTTATTACCAACTGCAATCAAGATAAACTAAAACTTTCTTGACTCCATATCTATTATGTGTTCCAGACATTCAGTTGTAGATGAATATTTGCCATGTTGGCTTAATTTTACTACTCCCCTTTCTTATTATACTCTTGGTATTTCTTCATGCATATTTGTGACTACTCGACAAAGCATTCAAATAAACTGATTTATCATTCCACATGCCTACTGGTGCTTCAGGCCAATTTGATTAAGATGTGTTGCCCTCAAATTGACACAATGACAACTCTTAAGGCCTAATTGTTCAAAAGTGGAAAACAACCAAAGGCAAAATGTTTGTCAAAGCATTGGCCTATTTTGAGGAGGATTGCACGTTAAAACTAGCTGCATACCCAATTTGAGCATCTGCCTTCATTAACTCCACTTTGAAAACTTCTAGACATTATCAACGGCTTTCATGGAAGTTAAAAGAGATAATTCAACCCTCCAAAGGATAGGGGATTTGCAACACGAATGTTGTATCAGAAATGACTAATCACTACTATGAATTCAAGGTTTTAAAATAAACTCCTTTTTGTTGAGTAGGGGTTTACACTCTCAGCAAAATTTTTACAATTATTTACAGATATCTCCCAAGTGCTAGGAGGGTGTAGCTAATTATCACCCCGATAATATTTTATTAGCACATATATCCTCTTTGGCATGTCTTCAGTTAGCTTTAAACTCCCATGGTAATTATGTGATAGTCAAAATCAGACACTGTCGAAGAATATCGCCACAAACTTCTCGCGTGAACTTAAAAGCCATGAGAAAATAACTACATCTCGGGAGTTTTTTTTCTCTCCAAATAACCCTAAATTTAACACTCAGGAGCTTTTTTCCAAATTTTCACTTCAAGGCATTATGTTAAACAATCGATTTCACCATGTTTTAATTCTCAGGAAAGCAATTCTTAAAAAAGCTTATCCTAGTTCTCAGATCCAATGTATCATACTGCAATCAATTCATTCATCCAAACACACTAATCCCCCTAAAAACCAAACGATGCCTCGAGGACCCAGCTCTCTCCCAAATTTTCACTCCCAGGGATTACGTTAGCAATCAATTTCAACATGTTTTAACTCTACATCTAATTCATTTGAAATCTGACTGATTCTCAGATCCAATGTCTCATTATAACGCAATCAACTCATTCATTCGAAAAACAAAACGATACCTTGAGGGCGGGGCGAAATCGCTTCCGATCGCGGAGTTTCTTGATGGAGACGCCGACCTCCCACTTGAAGACTCGCTTCCTGCTCTTGAGGAACTGCGTCAGCTCCTTCTTAACGCTCTCCGGCGAGCTCCCCTCTCTAAAGAGCCGCTTGTAGAGCGCCTCCTCCAGGTACTTGCTCGATCGCTTCGTTATCAGCTTCGTCCTCGTCGACATCGCCGTCGTCGCCATTACTAAGTCCTCAGTGATCCCCCAGGGTTTTTGGTTTCTTGACGGTTGTCGAAGCTGAGGCTAGGTCTCGTGAGGTTTTTTCGAGTGGAACGGGTCGGGTTTTGGTATAGTGCGACTTGATCCGCTTGAAGATCCATTTAGGGGTCGTTTGGTTTGCCAAAAAAAAGGCTGAATTATCGAAGTTTTTGAGCAATTTTAGTCCCTTACATTAACAATTATTGCATGTTAGTCCTCAATCTTCGAAATTGCATATTAGTCCCTCAAATCCTGTAAGGTCTTACAAAATGGTCCATCTGTTAGTATTCTAGTTAAAAATCTAACCATGAAGGGGTTAATTCCTAACCCAATATCTACAATTACTAAACTACCCATCTCTCTGACATTTTCAAAGATTTATGAAGCTCAATTTTGGATTAGAGTTCTTTTCTGGCCATTGTAAAGGAAGAACTTAAGTGGTTTGGATCTTTTAAGCAGAAGGGGTTTAAACCCATTAAGAAATGGGCTAAGGACCAAAATAGAGGGGTAAATTGGTCATTTTGCCTCCAATCGTTAGATTTGACAGAATATTCCCCTCAAATCTAATGTGGTTTAACTTGAAGATCTTGGCAAGACACAATAGGATTAGATGGACTAATATGCATTTTTCTAGATTTGAGTAACTAATAATCAATTATGTAATATTTAACCCTCATTAACTAATTTGGTTTTAATGGCTTCTCCGAAGATTTTTTTTCGTATTAAAAGTTAATTAGTTATGCACTAACATATACTTTTTCAATACTATCGAAAATCTCTTGCAAAAAATGGCAACCCCCTCCCCCTCCCCCCTATCTGCAAGTGAGAAAATGGGGGTATTTGGCTAATTTAGGGTTAGTTTTACTCTTGTCTTATCTTTATTATGTCATCTGAAGCCCTTCCACTTTATCTATACGTAGCCACATCAGTCTTCTAATATCTCTAAAATTATATCAGGCAAGGTTATATGCTATCTACAAGTGTAATTTTTTCGTTGGCAGCAAAAATTAGGTCTAAGTGCATATTTGATGAACTATAAATACTATAAAGTTGCTAGAGAAACTATTAAGTACCAAACCGATTAAGAGGAGTTATAAAAAAAATACCAATTTAATAATTTAGCTCCCAAAAAAGCGAAGAAAAGTATTATGAGAAATAAGTCTTTATAACACTTACCTTTCTTTTGTTTGGTTCTCACACTAAGACCAAGAAGAAAGGTCTTATCGCATATGACTCATAGTTTATAAAACTCATTTCATAATTTTTTTGTTGAGAAAATACGAAGAAATCATATTTCCTTCCTCACTTTCTTTTTTTATTTGGTTGGCTACTTAGAAACCAAAGAAAAAAAATTTGGGGGGGAAGGGCTACGGGAGTGGGGAGGGGGGAGAGATGACGATCAATTGGGTTTTCCCCATCTACTTACCAATAAATAAATATAATATTTGGAAAGCGTTATAGGGAAATTGGTATTCTATAACACTTTTCTTTCCTTTCTTTTGTTTGATTGAAATAAGGGGCTGTTTGGTTGCACACTTTTTGAGAAAACTTTTCTCAAAACATCTAACAATGGTAAATTTATAATTAAAAGTTTTTTAGAGATTTCTGTAAATTGTGTTTGGTTCAACAAAAAATTTACAGAAATATTTTCTATAAAATATCAAAATCTACCAAATTTTACAAAAAGCAATTTCCTCTCAAAATGAGAGGAAATCACCAGAAATCTGACACATACCATATTTAATTAAAAACCTACCAAATCTTGTTATTTTCTATAAAGTTATGAGCTATTTTCTTATTTTGAACCAAACAAGCAAAGTACAAAAAACAAGAAAATTGGTACTTTTTGATTTCTCAAAACTTTTCCTATAATTTTTTTAAGAAATGCAAGGAAATCATATTTTAGGTGGAAAACATTTCCTATAATTTCTAGAAATTGAACCAAACACCCCTTAAAAGAAACATGAAAGAGTATGTGCCGGCCCTAGGCTAGAGCGGTAAGTAGATGCATTGGATTCCAAATTTAAAATGGAAATACCATTTCTATCAATTTGGGATGGAAATGACACAAGAAGAGTAAAATTGGGCTCCCCACGTGATTATTTGGTTCTTTGTTGGAAGCCATCTTTTAATGATTTCCACGAAATTAATCAAGAAAGTTTTAAACTTCGAGTCGTATCTTCCAATAAGAGGATGTCATATCATTTTTTTTCCTTTTTTTTAAATTTCTCATAACACTTTTCTTTAAATTTTTTGGGCAACAAAATATCTCATAAGAGACTAAGCAAATAGGAACAATTAACGAATTTATATTTTATGGAAACAGACTATAGCAAATGTCGCTAGACTTTTGTTAATTAAAGTGTCAAAATAGTTAAAACAAATCATAAAATGTAGATTATTTCGTAGCTTCAGATAAAAAAATTTAATTTACAATGGAACTATACTTTTTTAAAGCAGAATAGACAAATCCAATTAATTTTGGAGCTAACCAAACACCTAATTTGGGTCTTAGAATATGCTTTCTACAATAAAATAACATTGACATTAAAATGACAGGTTTAAGATTACTTTCTTGCAAGAAATTAATCTTGTATGTAACATTTTTTTCCCTTTCTTTTCTACGCACTTTTTCATTTATTAAAATCGTGTCAAATCATTAAAAGAAGATGAATTCAACTACTTCTCTCTAAGATGATTGAAAGAAAGAAAAAATTTATGGCTGTCGTATCTGAATTTATTGTTTTTTACATGAATAACAGTAAATCTTCATATTTCTTCATATTTTTGACAATTTGAACAGGATTTAAGAGACCTCATGTTGAATTGAAATAACAACAAACCGATAAAGCTAACATGTGAGTTCGGAGTTTTAACCAGGGTTTGCGGATCCGGACAAAATCCATCAAAAAAAAATGCACATTAACTTTCTATCGACAAAAGTCTAATCTAAAGAGCAAAAAGACATTTTGGTGTCATGTGGTGCGCGTTTGCGCCTTTGCGGTCGTGGTTTGCGCCTTTGCGGGATCCAGAGTCAAAATGCGAAAGCGACTACCGACTGGTAATCATTTACACGGATTATTCGTTCTCCAAAAAGGGGCCGACTGTATGATCCGTAACATTTCCAAAAAGTGTAAAAAATGCAAGAGAAATATTTGTTACTGCTCCTAGAATAATAAAATATACATCTATAACTATACCTAGGCCTGCTCATCCGTGCCGGGCCGGCCCGGGCCGGAAATCCGGGCCCCGGCCGGGCAAAATCGGAGCCCGGACCCGGGCCCGACCGGGCCGGGTTCCGGGCTGGCCCGGATTTTTTTCAATTTTTTTATCAAATTTTTTAATTTTTATTTAAATTTTAAATTACAAAAAAAATAAAAAAATTAATAAAAAACAATAATTTTATTAATCACTTAAAATGACATAAATTACAAATAAAAAATGATAAAAATAAATTCTTTATTAATAATTAATAAATCATTTACAAATTATAAGTACAAATTTATTTTGGAATTCATCGCATCACAATAGATAATGCCTTGCGTTCGCTTCTCGTACCTCCACCAATCTTGTAGGCACATCACCGCTTGTACAGTATATGGATCCAAGCATGTCCTGTGATCGTCGATCAAACGACCTGCTGTGCTGAAGGCGGATTCCGAAGCTACCGTCGAAACCTGCACTGTTAGTAAGTCACGAACCATGGTGGAAAGTATAGGATATGAAACTGATCCATATACTTTCCACCATTGCAAAATATCTAAAGCATTTCCTTGACATCTAACTAAAGAAGCAGAAAAATATTCATCTATTTCAGAAACCTCCGATGATGACGATCCAAGTCCAGATCCACCAGTTAGCTCAGCTACCATTGCATATACCTATCAAAACTTACACTTTTACCTCGGGCTCGGGATGAGCTCGAAGAAACCGAAGCTGCAGACTGTTGTGCAGCTACACCATGTCTAGCTGCATACTCATCATATAAGGTTTGAAAATAATTTCTAATAGCTAAATGATGAGTTGTAGCAGTAAGGGTGGTTCCATCATCTAAGTCTATAATCTGATTACCATACAAGGATTGTAACAAACTTCGAAGGCCAATATCCTTCAAGCATGGATCAATAAGACCCCCCAAACCAAAAATATGAGGAATATGCCTAAAATACTTATTAAATTTGCTCTCAATTTGAAAAATCATAGGTCCAAAAGTATCATCCATAAGATATTTCCCAAAAAAAATTTGAATATTTAAAATTTGTAAAGCAGCTAAAGTAATTGTTGGATAATAACAGCCAGATAATAATATTATAGCATCATAAAAAACTTATAACATTTCATTTAAATTACATATAATTGTCCATTCATCTTCAGTTATTCCATAAGTGCTACCAAAACTAGAACTAGAAGCATAATAGTTTATGAAATCAGTTATAATGTCTTTATATTCTATTACTACACTTAATATTGCATAGATGGAATTCCACCTATGGTCAACATCTTTTGGAATTAGTCTGGGCTTTACATTTTTTCTTTTACAAAATTGTTTCTATCTTTTAAGTCTTTGTTCAGAAGCATTATGCATATAAGTAACTGTTCTAACCTTTTCTACCATGGGTTTAATTTCAGTAAATGCACTTTGAACAATTAAATTTAAAATATGACAAATACACCTAATATGAAAAAGATCACCATGACATGGCAATGATAAAGTTGATCTGATAAAATCAACAGCTACATTGTTATTACTTGCATTATCTAGTGAAAGAAAAAATATTTTTTCTGAAATTTCTAATTTCATAAGTTCTTCAATTATTAAATTTGCAACATTAATACCAGTATGTGACTCTTCTATTATAATAAAAGAAACAACTCTTTTAAACATTTCCACATTTGCCATTTTTCATCAATCCAGTGTGCTGTGATACATAAATATCCAGTTTGTGCTCTAAATGTCCAAATATCAGAAGTTAAAGAAAATTTATAGTTTAAATTTTTAAAATAAGAAATTATTTTTTCTTGTTCCTCCTGATAATATTTTAAAATATCACGTTGAC